AGTGCCAAAGACAAGGTACAATATCAGAAAACTGGTTTTAGTGATGGATGTGCTGACGGGTTGCTATGGTTGTGGTTATAGTTAATGTGAACCTGTCTCTTGAGTAAACTGAGAAATTACTCTTATCCTGTATTCTCTTCTGCCCTCATCTGGTGACTAAAGAGAATGACATTTTCTCTTTGGAAGTATAAGTGCATAGTTTCAATAACTAAACATCATTTGAAGGATAATCTACAGGATGGGAGTAAACAAAGAAAGATAGGGCTGGCAGCCTGGAAGAGAAAATAGATTTCTGTCCAATAATACAAATGGAATTTCAAACACTAGAAAAGTTACATTGCTGAGAATATATCGAAGAGGGAAGGAGGAATTATTTAAAGATTGGTTATTGAGCTTTTCTCATTAACTTAACAATAGATGAAATCATTGAGAAAGTTCTGCTTTCAATTTTTCTGTCAGAAGAGGGAAAATCTCATATGTTATCAGACTTCTTTCAGAAAAAAAGAGATAGACCCTTTGCTCCCTGGTTTGTGAGTCAATTGCCTGAGTTGCTGGCTTGTGTTAGTGATAGGTTTCAGACCATTTGATTAATGTTTCTAGTGGTGGTCACTTTATAAACTTGGTCAGTACTGTTAAATTTGGAAACTTGATACTTCTTTTCTGTGTAAGGACTTTGTTGTAGAAGTACTGAAGGTCCATTTGTACATGAGGAACTTTTTGGAAAGTGTTTTAGTACTTTTTCTAAAGCTCTGCTAGTCATGTTTACTGATAAAATTTTTATGACTATTAAGCATAGTAGGAACAGTATTTATTTCGTGTACAAGTAAAACTTTTTTGAACCTTTTTGAAGGGATTGATATTTTTCATTATATTCTTCCATTGTAGATCTTTGACTAATGCTTTAAAATCATTAGGATCGTATGTTACCATTAGTTATTTATTTTTTTAGCTAGCATATTTCACTAATACAGAAACCCAGACACACCAAGTAAATAACTCCTTGTCACTGAAACTGCTGTATCTCATGCACTTACTTAGTCTACGTTGTGGTGTGAGCACAGTATCTTCTCAAAAGTAAGTGCTGAGAGCCTCCTTGATGAGCTCTGCTTTTAATTGCAGCATCAAGGGAACCTTCACGTTGCTTCAGAGATAGGTGCACGGAATATTGAATTGTGTCCTTCTATGTTTGTGGTAGTGATATTGCCTCGGAAACCCAAGGAGGGGTTCTTGTGAGTCAGGTCTGACTGGAAGGCACATAACAACAACAATAGCATGCCTGTGGTAATAATCCCATTTGGGACTGGGTTGTCTTTGTTATGTTAATGAGGCAGAATTAACGTAGGGTCTGTTTTCAGTTAGTATCTTTTGAGTTATAAGATATTAAACAAGGAAGTGAGAGAAGCAGAGATGAGGGAAGAGCAATACCAAGTCACATGAAGATCACACAAGAGCAGAAACTCAAAAGAAACGAGGACCTTCCTCCAGAGCTGACAGAGAAAGCCTTCCCCTAGAACTGGCACCCTGAAGTTAGACTTCAAGCCTTCTAAACTATGAGACAATAAATGTCTGTGTCAGAGCCATCCTTTTGTGGTACTTCTGTTGTAGCAGCACTAGAGAACTAACACATAATTTGGTACGGGGAGTGGATGATGCTCCAGCAGACACATTAAAAGGGAGAAGCAGCTTTGGAATTGGATAATGAGGGGAGTCTATAAGTTGCTTAGTAGTAAACGCTTACATCGCCTCGAAGAGACTCTTGGTAGAATTATGGATGTCAAAGGCAATTCTCATGAGGGCTCAGAAGGAACTAAAAGAGCTATAGAGAGAAGCTCTGCCATCTTAGAGAATACATATGGCACCAGCAACAGAATGTTTCTAGAAGTGTGGATGTTAAATATACTTCTGTTGAGGCTTCAAAAGAAAATGATGAGCATGTTGTTGGACATGTTGTGGAAAAGGCAGTGCAGTGGCAAAGGACTTCTCTGAATTATGTTTAAATGTTTGGTGGAAGGAAGAACTTGTAAGTGATAAACTTGGATATTTGGCTGAGGAGATCTCTAAGCAAGATCTTAAAGAACCTGTGTGGTTTCTCCTTGCTACTTATAGTAAAATGTGAGAGCAAAGATACAGACTTAAAAATAAACTGGGCAAAATTAAAACAAAACTTAAAAATTTGAAAATTTTTGTACAAACTAGGGACATATGTTCTAGAATTTTCACCAAAGACATGGCCACACAATATTCTGTTAAAGAAATTAAGCCTGTGACTGGTAGATCTGTCCAACTGCCATAGCAGAAAACCCATTACTTAGGCTGAAGGGACAGAGATAGGACAAATGGGAAGAAAGCTATTTGCCTTTTGGAATTCTACTGGCAGGAAACAGGCCAAAGAAGCTATACCTGTTGTCCTCTTTTAAAAAAAAAAAAAAAGAAGAAGAAGAAAGAAAGGACTATCTCTGGAGCAGCTCAAAACTCAGCAGAACTGTTGGAAGGAGCGTAGGTAGCAGGGCTTCCTTGATTCAAAGGGTAGAGTCATGACTTCCTAGGTTGTAAAGAGTCAGATCTTCACCAACTCAGTTCCAGAGTGTGGGGCTGCCGTTAAAGTGTGCCAAGAGGATAGGGCCATCACCCAAAGCTGACAGATTAGAGCTGCCATATCCAAGGGGCAGAAAAATGGGGCTTCCTCGTCCAAGGTGGTGGGGTCACCATTCAGATGGACTAGGAGAATGGGGCCACCAAAAGCTGAGGGAACAGAGTTCCTGTCCCAGTAGTCCTGGAAGGCAGAGCTGAAGCCCAGGGTCAAGGGCCCTCCACCCAGAATCTAGAGGGCATGGCTAATACCCAGAGTCTGGAGAACAGAGCCATTGCCAAGATGGTATCAAAGGACAGAGGATTATTTTCAAGCCTTGACAGCTAATGTAAATTGTTTCGCTGGGTTTGGATTTGATTGGTGCCTGTTACCCCTTCTTTCCTTCCAGTTTCTTCCATTTGTAATGAAAGTGTCTACCTTGTGTCTGTTCCACCATTATTCTTTGGAAACAGATAACATACATTCTAGATTTCACAAGTTCACAGATGAAGAGGAATTTTTCCCCAGAATGGAATATACCTTAAAGTCTCACCCATATTTGATTTAGATGATTCAGAAGTTGAAATTTTGGGCTTAGAGTGAGTTTAAGACTTTTAGGATGATGTGATTAGTGAATGTGTTTTTCACGTGGCAAGCACATGAATTTTGGGGAGCCAAAGGGTAGAATGTTATGGATTGAATTGTGTCCGCAGAAAATATGTGTTGTGAATCCTAACCTCCATGCCTATGGTTATATTCCCATTTGGGAATGGGTTGTCTTTGTTATGTTAATGAGGCAGGATTCATGTAGGGTATGTCTTAAGTTCTTTTGAGATATAAAAGAGATTAAACAAGCAAGCAGAGATGGAGGAAGAGAGTTGACAGGCCACTTGAAGATTTCCCAGGAGCGGAAGCTCACAAGAGACAAGGAATTTCCTCCAGAGCCAAAAGAATGAGAAAGTCTTCCCCTAGCTACAGCTTCCTAAATTCAAGCTTCTACCCTCCTAAACTATGAAAAGGTGTATTTTGGGACATTTAAGCCATCCACTTGTGGTATTTCTGTTATAGCAGCACTAGGTAACTGAGGCAGATGATAGATTCGGAACTTCATCTGATAGCTCTCTAAGCTCCCCTCTTGCAGGTCCCTCCCCTTTGCACTCCCTCCAGCTTCAGAGGTTCCAATCAGAGTAATCCAATTTTCTAAAATCCTAAATCTTCAGGGAAACAGAAAGTAGTTCCTCTCCTCTTCACAAACGTTTGAGGACCTCTTCCAAATACTTTCTTTTTAAAGGAACTATGCTATTAATTGGAGCTCTGGTAGCATAGTGGCTAAAAGCACTTGACTGCTAACCAGAAGGCTGGCGGTTCAAACCCACCAGCCACTCCTCGGAAGGAAGGTTGGGCAATCCTACTTCCGTAGTGATACTGCCTCGGAAACCCAAGGAGGGGTCGCTATGAGTCGGGGCCGACTCGACGGCACATAACAACAACAACAACAATGCTATTAATTGATCCTTTCTTTTTGTCAATCTTCTTTATAAACTTACTTGATTTCCATTGCAAAGGATGAAAGATGACAGCTTTCTCAGAAGTCCTAAAATTTAAGATGCCTTGGTGCCACTTAGTAATCTCAAACTCTCTCAAGTACAAAACGTGACCATACTGTGCTGATGACTGCCAGAGTACACTGTCCTCACTGGGGCCCAGCTGAATGTATGGAGATCAATTTAATATACAATTAGGAAGTGATTGTACACTTTAGAATATGAATAAGAAGTGAGATTCTCTTAGTAAAGATCCATTTCCTCTGGTTTGATCGATACTGTTTTTTAAAAAGATTAGATAGGGACCCTATTATAAATCACCTGACAGGAAGGCAAGAGAAAGGGACTATAGATCCAAGGGTTAACTGCAACTGAGTCCTACAGATATTTAGAGAGAAGACTGGATGGCTTGTGTGTGAGGCCAGGTTATAGAAGATCTTAAGTACCAGGCTGAGAGGATATAAGTGTTGCTTAGGGGAATGATTTATTGAAGCACTGTGTTTGGATTGATAATCCTGATAGGTAAGAAAAATTTCAGGGAAAGAAATTGATAGAAGGGAAGCAAATTAGGTTGTTTTAGTGATCCAAGTGTCAACCTCATTCACTGCCATCGAGTCAATTCCAACTCATAGCAACCCCTTTTTGGGTTTCCAAGGCGGTAAATATTTATGGAAGTCGATTGCCAAGTCTTTCTTCCATGGAGTGGCTGGTGGGTTTGAACCACCAGCCTTCTGGTTAATAGTCAAATGCCTTAGGCACTAGGCCACCAGAGCTCCTTAAGTGTCAACCTAGACTCTCATTTGTATTGAAGCTAATTTTGTATATTAATTTTTTTTTAATAAAAACATTTACATGATATTAAAATGCCTCTCATTTTCCTCCTCTAGAGTTTACAGATGCTTCCCCAGCAACGGAAAGCCATAGCGAAGTTTAAGGAACCAGCACATGCGTTAGCATTTCAACAGAAATTCCACAGGTAGCCAGTGTATCTTATACCTCTGTGGTTGTGGTGATTCTGGAGTCGGGGGAGGAGGGCCCTACCTGTGGTCGAATTGTCAGAGTAGCACACAACTTTGCATGTATGTGTATGTATGCTTACCAGCATGTTGTTGTTGTTGTTATGTGCCGTCAAGTCGGACCTGACTCATAGCGACCCCTTCTTGGGTTTCTGAGGCGGTATCACTACGGAAGTAGATTGATTGCCTTATCTTCCTTCCGAGGAGTGGCTGGTGGGTTTGAACCGCCAGCCTTCTGGTTAGCAGTCAAGAGCCTTAGGCACTACGCTACTAGAGTAGGATTGTAGAAATACACCAGTAATGCATAAAGGGAAGGAGCTCTTATGGTGTAGCGATTTAAGCATTTGGCTGATAGTCAGGTCAGTGGTTCTAACCCACCAGTTGCTCCACCGAAGAAAGACAAGGCAGTCTGCTTTCGTAAAGATATACAGCATTGGAGACCAATTGGGGGTCACTATGAATCGGAATTGACTTGATGGGAGTGAAGGATTTTCTTTAATCAGGAGCCACCATTCTGCTTTTGTTTTCTTTTACCTTGGTGAATTTGTTGCTGATGCACATTACCTTAATGTTGATTGTTTCTTTACATTTCCACAGGCATATGATAGATTTGTCCCACATAAATGTGGCCCTGATTGTTGAGTGATTTCTGATAGGAGAATTTGACCCTGTGCTATACAAGCACTGTGGAATTTCTCCAAGGAAGCTCCCGGAGCAGAATCCTCAAGAGCTTAGACCTTTCCAGTCACAGCTTTGTATAACTTGTCTTGAGCTGCAGACAACAACAGGATTGACTCAAGAAGAGCTGAACTTACAGGACACAGCAAACTGGAGTTTGGTGTGAGATTTCTTCAAATTCTCTTGTAACCACAAAGAACTACAGTTTGTCATTGTCTTTTGTTTTCAAAGTGCTTACAATGCATGTAGACATTGTTCTTCAAGATCTTACTGTATGATCGATCATTAGATTCAGGAAAGAACATTAATTGCCACAAATTCACAATATTTTTCACAGCAAAGAATATTTGATAATGGTTGCACTTATCTTCAGTGCAGGCTAGAAAACAGTTTTCTTAGCCAAGCTTCACTTGAGTTGTCTTCTCAGAAAGACCTCAAAAAGTCCTTGTGAAAATGTAGAGTAAAATTTGGGTGATTGTTGATTGACATTTGCAAATCCTAGAAAGCCAGGGTATGAGAGGGGTGGTTGGGAGTGGTGCCAATTGAAGTGGCAGATTCTGCTTCTTGTAAATATTTCAAAAGCACCAACTGTGTGTTCCTTATTCCAAGGAACTAGTTCTCTTTCACCAGTATTCCCAACTAAGGTGAAAATACTGGCTTAGGCACCATTGCCATTCTCTCTGGCTTACAGAAGGGACATGTTTCACCCTGTTAGCTTGCAGCCCTTTGACAAAGTTCACTATTGGTAGAGTTCCATATCATACCTATGGGCAAGATTGAGGAACACCCTGAAGGTTTAATACACCTATTTGATTTTTTTGTCCTCTTTTTAAGTACAGCCTAAAGTAGCAGATTTACATCACTGGCTTTGAGATATTTAACATTCTTTAGAAACCTGGTTATCATTGTTGTGATTGTCACCCCCCCCCCTTTTTTTTTTCCCTCTTTTCTTTGTTTTGAAGACCTTGTGAACAAGGGATGTGCTGTCCTTCAGTGGACCTAATAGCAAAGTGATTTTTCTGGCATCTAATTCCTTTTGGAAAATGGATGTGAGGTAATGATTGTCTTACATGATAACATAGCCTAAAATAAAATGTATGTATGTCCTCACTGAAACGGCTTTTAGTAATTCTGGGTGGGTCTCTTTAGGTGAGACACTTATTCTCCATAAAGCAACCTTTAGAAAATTCCATTTTGGGCAAGCATTTCAAAAGGGACTTACTATATTTCTGCTCATGAATGAGTTTCTTTATTTTGGATATATTCAAATGTGGACCTGAGCTATTTGAGCAAATAATACTAGGGCATATTCAGACTTTTTAAGCTTTATTTTATGCTTAAGATCTCATTAACATTATTAATAGAATGAAGGGACATAGGAGCCTGTTATCATTTAATGCATCTAATGAACCCAGTAAGGACCAGTATGTGAGCATGGACACTCTGAAGCAAGTGCACTCCTTCATGGCCTTCAGCCTTCCAAGGGGCCTTAAAGGAGACAGAGTTCATGTGAACTTGTGTCATCTTGTTTTTTCACATTTGAAATTTTATATTACTTTTCAAATTAAGTGACCAAAACAAATACGAAAAACTGAAGGAGGGTATTCCAGACCCTTGTGGGATTTTCTGTGGCATTGATTCTAAAATGACATCATGTGCTTGAGAGTCAGACTAGAAAATGAAAGTGGTGGTGGTAAAGGGATGCTCTTCAAAAGATTTTGGTTCCAGAAAGCTGTAGGTGTTCATAGAACCTTTTCTTTGAAAGTTAATTTCATGCCAACTGGTGACTGGACACCCATGTTCCAAAAAGTCCCTAACTAACGCTTAGAAGATGGTGTTGTATACCAACCAGGCTGTGAGATGCCTCCTATAGTTGCCCTTTATCTGATGGACAAGTTGTCACTGCCCACTTGTTTTTTTAACTATATTCACATATTTTTTAAAACATAGATCCTTTGGCTCAGTCCACCAAGTTCTGCATTGAAACAGAACTTGATAGCCTTTACGCTCTAATAAAGAAAGATCAAAACCACTTAGCATCCACGTTCAACAGTGAGAAGCCTTACACTTAATGAATTTATATTATCAGTGAAGACTTAACAGATGTGATTAAATCAGTTTAGCAAAATTGTACCATTTTCTGAAATAGTTTGAGAGTGCTGTGGCTTTGAAACCAAAAATTTGAATGTTGGCTCTGAAAAGTAGGCATTCAAGCATACTTCTTCTAGTTAGTGGTAACAGAACTAAATACCATTTGGGCACAACTGTTCAAAACAGATTTTGTGACTACTTTAAGTCTGCTTTTGGTATTATCTGGGTATGATACAGTGCTATGGGATTATGTATGTATGTGTCTATAACTGTCTACACACATACATACGTTAAGCTTGCTCTGAAATATAATGTTCTTGATGATCCACAAAGTCGAACTGGGTCTTGAGTAAAACACTGGTTAGGATGATTGAACGCAGACAGTCCAGCCTCTCTGAAAATATATAACTGTTGTAATGGACTCTATTAGTATAGACAATCAAAATAATAAAGGTTTAGCTTCCTTGAAGGAAACTACAGAAGAGGAAAGAAGCAGAATTAGAAAGTGATGTTATTTCCATTTTTGGTGTACTTCTAGCAGATAAATCAGACTACCTTAAGCTGAACCATCTTGGAAGATCTGTTGCAACCATTATCTTTGTTCTTTATTTATCATGCATTTAAAATGAGATGCAAAAGCATTTAACATACTATGTAAATATGGACCTTTTGAAATTAAAATGTTATTGAAAATTCTTTCAATTCAGCAACATCTTAGCTATTTGTTAGTTTTTTGTGTGTGTGTTGTCTTACCAGAGTTTAATGGATACAGTTCCATAATTGTTGATGTGTTTGTGTGTATATTCGATTTTTATAAAGATGGTAGTAAGTCAATACATTAATCCTGATCTGTGTATTATTTGTTCACAAATTCAAGAAGCTTAAAACCAGTAAATAATCAATATATCTCATACGGTAAATACAACAGGTGATTATGTGGAGGCAAGTTATTTTTCTCTTTCTTTTTGCGTTATCTTGTTTTGATTTTGTGCTGTAATATACAAGTTCCCTTAGCTGCTTACCTGAACATAACCCTGCATTATAATTGGTCTGGATACTTTTGTTAAATTAGTATACTGATATTCTTTTAGAGGTGAAATCTCTTTTTTCAAAAGAAATTTTGAGGACCTCCCCCATTTCTGGACAGGTAGCATCCTAAGGGGTGTGGGCCCTTGCCTCCTGGTGCCGAAGTTTATGGGATGGAGTTGGGGTGGGGTAGGGATATTCCATCACAATTATTTTAATTTTTGGTAGTTATTTTCATGATTTGTAAAGGTCTTGGATAAACAATTGCTAAAACATAGTTTTGTAGCATTTCTGAATTGTGACAAAGCTTAGATCCTGTACCCACAGGTCTTTCTTAGACAGCATTTTGCTTAATTATGAAAACAGAAGACTTTGTTACTTAAGGAGGCTGGGTAAGGTTGAAGGGGAGGGTGGACGGGTAGAAGTGGGGAGAGGGGAAAAGAAATTCTAATATAAATGTGGTTAATAAACTTTCTTCTAACACACTGACTCTTAAGGGGAACTCTTCCAATCAAATAGAGAAATAGGAAGGGCAGGGCACGCAGGAGAAGGGGAGGACTCACAAATGCAGAAGACTTGAGAGGGCAGCTCCCTGACACAGAGGACTGAACAGCTTTAATCTTAGAGGGTTGTTAGCTCTTTTAATAAGAAGAGGGCTTGATTGGCTTACATGGTAGTATAGAAAAACAACCTAAGATTCTATGATGCTTCCTGGTAGGATTGGTTTTAAGAATTTATCACTTTTCTTCTTCTTCTTCTTCTTTCTTTTGTTTTTTTTGTTTTTTTGTTTTTTTTTTTTTTTGCTTAATTTCTTTATTATTTAACTGAGAAGGTAAGACCGACAGGCTCATAGCCCATGCACTGACAGGACCTTACTGAAGACAGTTACATAATATTAGCATAACTGGACAAAAGCAAGGAGATCTGCATGTTGTCATGACTATAGTGTTTCACTCGTTTGTCATAGTGTTTGTTAGAGATAGCTGCTTCCTCTCTGTCCCTTACATTCATTCTCTCACTGGAGAGAGGAAACAAATTCCCAGTTATCCAGAAGCACACGCCCCAGTGCAGGATTTGTAGTTCCGGGAATGTATGACTTTGGGTTTAGTCACTTTCACATTGCCCTTCCCAGGCATCTACTTTTTTATTTTCCTCCCTCTATGTACAGGACTCAGTTCTGGCTTCACATGTTTCACTTTTAGACCCAATTTTACTTTCTTTTATTAAGCTATAACTATCTCCAACCACCACCACCACCCATTTTTTTTTTCTTTTCTTTTTTTGTTTGGAATGAGAGGAGCTGGGAACAGGATGGGGTAGGTGGAAGAAAGAGAAAACTTGAAAACTTTTGTTGATTTTATTTTTTTTTTTCCATAATTTAAGTGACATACTCTTAAAGGAGATTAAGAGAAGGAGGGGAGTGGAAGATAAGAAATGGGAACAGGAGACGGACCATGAAGGGAGCCACAAGATGCTTAGATCAGTAAGGGGGAAAAGTTTAGATGATTTACTGTATTTAATGAGCATTTCAGGTGACCTTTCAACTGTTTTTATAACTTGTGAATGAAGTATTATTTTGGACATTCTTAAGTGTGAACGCTCCAAAGGCATTTAGCCTTAACCTAATACTAAATCCTAAGGATTTTATGTAAGGTTTTTTTGCAACCTGTTTGATTTTTATCATTTAAAATACCTAACTTCTTAGGTGCATAAGTCCATGGTTTTGTGTACTAGAACCAAAGCAGTAAAACTCACTGATTCATATTGGATCCTCAGGTATACCGTCTTCTGGTATCGTATGGTTGGGAAGGATCATTTGTTTTACTCCTTGTAGCCTACCTTTTGTAGAAT